TGGCCAGGCTGGTCTTGAACTCCTGACCTCAGGTGATCCACCGGCCTCGGCCTCCCAAAGTGCTGGGATTACAGGCGTGAGCCACGACGCCCAGCCAGCTAATTCTATTGCTTTTTGTGGAGATGGGGTTTCACCATGTTGACCAGGCTGGTTTTGAACTCCAGACCTCAAGTGCTCCGCCCGCCTCAGCCTCCCTAAATTCTGGGATTATAGGCATGAGCCATCGCACCTGGCCCATTTTATTTGATTTTTAAATTGTTTTTGTAAATTGACAAATTTCAGTTGTATATATTAGGTACAAAATAGTCATTAACTATTAACACAATATGGAGTAATTAAATCAAGCTAATTAACATATCACCGCAAATACTTTTGTGATAAGAACATTTGAAATTTTGAAATATACACTATTAACTATTTTCACCATGCCATGCAATATATACCCCCCCCAAAAAAATAAAAACAAAAACACAAAAACAGGCAGGGCACAGTGGCTCACGCCTATAATCCCAGCACTTGGGGAGGAATAGACAAGGGGATCGCTTGAGCTGAAGAGTTTGAGACCAACCTGGGCAACACAGCAAGACTTGGTCTCTACAAAATGCAAAAAATTGGCCGAGCATGGTGGCACATACCTGTAGACCCAGCTACTCAGGAGGTTAAGGTGGGAGGATTCCTTGAACCCAGGAGTTTGAGACTACAGTGAGCTCTACTGTGCTCCAGCCTGGGTGACAGAGCAATATCCCGTTTCAAAAAAAAAAAAAAAATACAACTCATTCCTCCTGTCTGAGGCTTTGTTCCCCTTGCACATCTCCCCATTCCCCCATCCCACAGCCCTTGCTAACCACCACTTCTTCTCTGCTTCTGAGTTCTACTGTTTAGATTCCACATATAAATGAATATGAGCCGAGGTCAGGAGATTGAAACCATCCTGCCTAACCCCATCCTGGGGTAAAACCCCGTCTCCACCAAAAATACAAAAAAATTAGCCAGGCGTGGTGACACACGCCTGTAGTCCCAGTTACTCAGGAGGCTGAGGCAGACGAATCGCTTGAACCTGGGAGGCGGAAGTTACAGTGAGCCGAGATCGTGCCACTGCACTCCAGCCTGGGCGACAGAATGAGAGTGAGACTCCATCTCAAAAAAACAAAAAAAAAAAGTGACTATTTTTTTTGTGGACTCCGCTAAGTGCAACGGGGAGAGAAAACAACCACGATCCCCTCTCACCACCACCTCTCCCTCCTCGCTCCAGTTAACAACCCACCTCAACCACCCCTCCAACACCCTTTTGAAGCTGCCATCCCTACTTTTCCCTGAAACAAACCCCACTCTAATCAAGACGGGCACCTGCAATTCCTCTTAAGGCCCACAATAAAGCCCTAACAAAAATATGTGTAGCTCTAACTCCTACACGTGTAACTCTTCAGAAGTACTGTCCTTTTCAGACTATAAAGATAGATGGAATTCAGACACTATCCCTCCCCAAATATCCATTATCTTCACATATAAACAGACAAGAACAAGTTTAACATTTTATTTTTCATATTTAAGTAAACAAATTATAAAAACATACATTCCCAGCCTTTGTAGTGTTTTCCCAAAGCAAAAAAAAAAAAAAAAGAAAGAAAGAACTCGTACAGAAGGTGGCAGTGTTGATTCATTTAAAGGGAACGAAACACCCTTACAGTATCAATATTAAATGCAAAGAATTACAATGAACATATTGGTTGTACTACAAAAATAATGAAGCCAGCTAATTACCATCAGGATACAACTTTACAAAGAAGTGAAGCAGCAAAGAGCTGAAGTAGAAATGACATAGGAAAACAGCAGCAAAGTCCTTGAGTCCAAACAGTCCACCTCAAAGACAAACATAATAAGGAACAAAGGTCCCTAATCCACCTCCTCAATGGTGGGGCCTGACCCAGACCCTCCCTTGGGACCCTGAGCCCCGAAGCCGCCAGGCCCAGGACCACCCGCACCCTGGTACAGTCCGCTGATGATGGGGTTACACACCTGCTCCAGCTCCTTCCTCTTGTGCTCAAACTCGTCCTTCTCGGCCAGGGTGTTGGCATCCAGCCACGAGATGACTTCTTGACACTTGTCCAGCACCTTCTTCTTGTCGGCCTCGCTGATCTTGCCCTTGAGCCCCTCATCCTCCACGGCGCTCTTCATGTTGAAGGCGTACGACTCCAGGGCGTTCTTGGCTGATACCCTCTCGCGCTGCACCTCGTCCTCCGCTTTGTACTTCTCTGCCTCCTGCACCATGCGCTCGATCTCCTCCTTGCTCAGGCGGCCCTTGTCGTTGGTGATGGTGATCTTGTTGGCCTTGCCGGTGCTCTTGTCCGTGGCCGTGACGTTCAGGATGCCGTTGGCATCGATGTCGAAGGTCACCTCGATCTGGGGCACGCCCCTGGGGGCCGGAGGGATGCCGCTCAGCTCGAAGCGCCCCAACAGATTGTTGTCCTTCGTCATGGCCCTCTCGCCCTCGTACACCTGGATCAGCACCCCGGGTTGGTTGTCCGAGTAGGTGGTGAAGATCTGTGTCTGCTTGGTGGGGATGGTGGAGTTGCGCTTGATCAGGGCAGTCATCACGCCTCCGGCCGTCTCCAGCCCCAGCGACAGCGGAGCC